GTATGTACAATGTGTTAACATGTTATAAACAATGCATATTATGCAGAGGGATGAAAGAATCATCTGTCAGGATTCAATGGTGTGTGTGTGTGTGTCAAATGTTACTATGTAAAATGAGTATTTTATTCTAAAGTCTATATATATATATATATATATATATATATATATATATATATATATATATATTTAGACTTTATCCAGAAGAAAAAAAATATTATCAGACATACTGTGAAAATGTCCTTGCTGTTAAACATCATTTGGGAAATATTAAAAAAAAAAAAAAAAAAAATTAAAAGGGGGCTTTTATATATGAATATTTTTCCCAACTTTTATTTAACGGAGAGATGCTTTAACACATTTCTAAACACAATAGTTTTAACTTTCTAATGACTGAATTATTTTATCTTTGCCATGACGTAAGTAATATTTTACTAGATATTTTTAAGACACTAGCATTCAGCTTAAAGTATTTTTTTGTATATATATAATAGCTGTTTTTATTCTAGCCAAAATAAATCAAATAAGACTTTCTCCATAAGAAACAATATTTTAGGGAACTCTTTCTTGCTCTAAAACTCTTTATAGGGAAATTTCTTGCTCTGTTAAATACCATTTGGGGTTTTTTAAAAAAAAAAATTTTAAAGAAAAATCACAGGAGGGCTAAAAACATTTGATTTCAACTGTATAACAGCATAATGTAACCTTACCTTTGATTTGATCTCCTTCTTTAAATGTGGTTTTGTCAGCAGTGACTGTGAACGGAGGAGAGCTGGTCTGAGCGTTAGCGCCGTGATTAGGCATCATAGAGTCACAAACCTCGCTTACAAGTCCATTCTTATAACTCTGCACAAGTCCAACACACAACACGAGAATAAACAGCAGCCTCTGGGGAGATTTACAAACGCCATCCATCGTCAGTTGTAGCGATAAAAATGAGATAAAAGGGAAATGTTGTAATTCTTATTTAAAACGACGACAGAGAACTTGGTCCGTTGTGTCTGAAACTATTTATCCGCGCCGTCTATACTCCAGTCACTTCACGTCTTCATTGTAAATAGTGAAATGTCATAGTGGGCGTGGCTTACCTGAACAGGTAATTGTGAGTAACAGTGGGCGATCGTGAGAGCTTGTGGAGGATACTTTAAGGATGCTTTGTTTGGATTTTGTTTTTACCTTTGAGAAGCAGTCTGAAAATGGTTACTTCCTTGATGTGCAATGTGATAATGTTGCACGCAGAGGAGCCTATTATTATTAAGGATTATTTTAAAAGCCTAAATAATAAAACATTTTTCTTACTTTATTTACCTCCTGTAACATAAAGGCAACTAAATCATTAAATGTATTTTCACTTCTTGGTGCATTTGTATAATTTATATTAATGTTATTTATATTGTCTATTCCTGGGCTCATTGGTATGTTTTTTTTTTATTATTGATTGAATCATTTTGATGTATTTTTACACATGTTAATTTATAATTGGTATATCAATTGCTTATAATACTTATTTTTTCTTTATTGTTATGTTTGGCATTCCAAACCCATATCTCCTTGTTTGACATTTGTTCTTCTCTTCACGTTTGCATTTTATAAGCAAGCATTAATAAAATAATGATGATAATAATAATAATAATAATAATAATAATATCGACTATACACAATATCATACCAAAAATAATATATATAAATAATATATATATATATATATATATATATATATATATATATATATATATATATATATATATATATATATATATATATATATATATATATATATATATATATATATATATATATATATATATATATATATATATATATATATATATATATATATATATATATATATATATATATATATATATATATATATATATATATATATATATATATAAATATATATATATATATATATATATAAATATATATATATATATATACATATATATATATATATATATATATAAATATATATATATATATATATATATATATATATA